CCGGGGCACTCGGTAGCTTGCCATGTAGCCAGATCGTTGTTCTAGAATACAAGTTACAAAGACAACTCACCAGTCGGATAGGCGTCCAACTTCAGCTGCCGTACGGCAACTAAAATTTCTTCTCGTACTTTTCAAGCGTTAATAGCACAATTTATTTTTATATTTTTAAAGTATTTTTTAAAATATTTTTATTTTTTAAAATATTTTTTATTGATTTTAGATAGTTTACATACAGATATTAAAAATAAATTTTAAAAAATAAAAAATATTATTTTAATATATTTTCAAATAAAAAATATTTTAAAAAATAATAATTACTATAATACTTGGATAAATTTAAGATTCATCTAATCATCTCAAGTTAATGTAAAAATTATTATATTAATTTAAGTTTATGGCTGTTGCAGTTGTTATTAATGATTTAATTAAAATCTAGATTAAATTTAACAAGGTTAACTAAATCACAAGTTAACTAAATTATATTAAATTTTTTTAATATTAATTTAGTCAGGTTTAAACTTGATTGATTAGATGAAATAAACTAAGTTATGAGTCAAATTATAAGAAGAGTATTGGGTTTCATTGAGTCAATATATTTTTCTAATACAGTTTAAAACTTTGGATTTAACAACTATATGAAAAGGCTATTTTCAAGGTGGTAATGAGAAATTAGGAAATAACGACTAGTGTCCAAATGAATATTCATCCATTAGATGAGTCAGCAGAGAGGCAGGCAAGATATGGAATGCTGATTACAAAATTCAAGGATAAAACTCGCCTTTGGTCAACCTTTTCCAGCAACTTGTCCGTTTTAGTCTGCTTCATCTGCTAAAATTCTCCTCACGTTCTTATCCAGTGTGTGCGTTGAAAAACAGAAAAGAAAATGAAAAGTCTAAATCCAACGCCTGCCTTCGTTTCATACCAGCAGCCTAATTGTTTTCATCGATCATCTACTCTACATATATAACCAAATCCCACCTAACCTAACTCCGCTGCCAATTCTCCTTCTCTCTGTCTCTCAAAATTTGCAACGATTTTTTTTTTACAAATATCCCATTTTAATTCACAATCTTGATCACCTTCCAGAACCATTGTTATTAGCTAGCTAGAATCCAACATGAAGACAAAAGCACACAACCAAAGCAAGTTCATGCGAGTCATTACAATCCCATTGAGAGTTTTGTGTAAGGCAAGGGATGTTTATGTTAAGAGCATGACAGATTGCTCGATGGGGATGAGATATGGCCCTTCCATGGTCTCGCGAGCAGGACAACACCCTCCCCTGCCCAGGAGTTTCAGTGTTAGCTCATCAAGGTCTGATCATGACGGTGAAGATTACAGAGAGCTTGTTAGAGCTGCTTCTGCCAGGAGCTTGGGTCACAGCAATGAAATTGAGATGTACATGCAGCTATTGAGGCAGCAGCAATCATCGATGATGATGGGGTCCAAAAAGGTGTTGCCAAAGAGTTGCAGTGTTGGAATGGGGTTCATGGGCAAGATTGATGAAGACAAACCATGTGTTTTTGAAGCAGGTGTTGTTGATGTAAAGCCACAGTTGGGTCCGAGAAGCAGTAGCTGTGCTGTTGGAAAAGGAAGGGTTGCCTTCTGAATTGTTTGTGAGGGATCCACCATGAGGAGAGGTAAGTCAAGGGGCTCTCCCTCATGGTTAATTTGGCTCAATTCTTTCCTCCTGTTGTTGATGCTTGGGTAATGGACTGTAATGATCGCTCATCATGGAAGTATATGAATTTTGGGCTTTTGGGAATATCTGCATCTTTGTATATTCAAATGAATCCATATTGAAGAAGAGAAGAATGAAGAACATCATCTCATTGTTTATTTCCAACTCCATTCCTCCTTAGATTTTCTCTTAATTTTTTATCATTCATTTATCAAAATAAATAAAAAAGAAAATATTTGCAAGTTAAATAACTATATTTAGGACATTTTTTTTAATATTCTATTAAAATGAAAAATGAAGAATTTCCTCTAGGACAAATGACGTGGCTAGTTGGAGACAAGTGTGACGGCGTGGGGATGGTGGTGAAGGATGGCGTATGTTTGTGATATCAAAATGATAATATTAACAGTAGTGACAAAGTGATTGATGATGTGTCAAAATAAAATATGTTTAAAAATGGTATTTGGATAATATTTAATTAAATGTTTATCTTAATATTTTTTTTATAGCTCAAAAAGTATATAACTGATAATAAAAGTTCTAATATCTACAAAACAGTCTCTTTAATAGGAGTTAGTTACCTTTTCAATAATACAATGTAATTTTAAAAAAATTATAATAAATAAAAGAAAGCTTTAAATTAAACAACAAAATAATCTCGAACCTTTTGTTTTGACAGAGTGGATAAATTGGAATAATTTGATCTTGATAATATTAATGAAAGATAAAAATCTATAACACTTTACTAATAAAAGATATATATACTTTACAGACTATTAATGATATGAAAATAATAATAAACTATTAAAAGATTTTTTATACGTCAATAGATGTAGGATGATGAGTATACATTGATAATTTATATTAATAGGCTTAAGATAAACCTTCATGGTTATGATATGAATTTTTAACGACTTCCAAACCAATAGGGTTAGGTGTATTGCAAAGTTTAGGATAGACGAGTTTGTTCGTTTATTATCTTTGGGTTAATACATGGCTAAATCCAAGTATATAAATTTTCAGATTCACATTAATTTGAGTTTAACAAAAGCTGGATTTAAGTATATTGAGTTTGACAAGTTATTACTCAAGTACTTGTTAGATCTATGTTGATTTGGGCTAAGCATATTAATAAATTCAAAGATATTTATCAAACCCAAATTGACTTGTGTTCAACACATATCCAAACCCAAATATATTGGGTCTGATAAGTTGTTAGATATATGTAACCCTGGATTCAGCACATGGGTGAACCCAAATGTAATGGATATGACAACTTACCAGATCTACATTAACTTGGATCCAACACATGACAAAACCCTAGTATATTGGGTTTAATAATTTGTTAGATTTATATTTACTTGGACTTAACACATAATTGAACACTAGTATATTATATCTGACTAAATCCATATTTTCTTGGACCTTATGATGGATTCATGTTCTTTCACAAAGATTAAAATATTAAGTTAAAAAGTCTGACTCATTAATAATGATTGATATAGAGGTTGCATGATGCTAGAAGTGGTGAACATGCAAGACTGAAAAATAAATAACATGCTTAATAATTTTATTCCTTTATAATTTTTTAGGATTTTCATTACTTTTCTTTTATTTTTAGGTGTTTTAGTTTGTTTAAGTTGTTTTTTGGTTTATTTTCGGAGTTGCAAACCTCATAAACAGATCGACTACTTGAAAAAAATATTCAATAATAAAATTATGAATTAGGATTTATCTATAATTTTTTCTTTTGAAAATTTTATGTTCTTGTGCATAAGTATTTTCTTTATTGTTTATGTTTACATAAGTTGGTATCATAATCCAACAATTTTTAGTGATTAGTTATTGTATGTTGCTAAATAATCATGCATTGAAGATGTAGTTGCAAAACAAGACGTGCTCGTTTAGAAGGTGATGAAGTGTTTC